TATAATATATATTATATATTAGTGTGTATATATTATATATATATATATATATATATATATATATATATATTATATATTATATTATTATATAGTACTTATTATGATATATATATTTATAGTATATATATTAATGGGTTATCCTTGTCATAGTGAGGGATTTTCCTCTTGACGCCTCTAAAGTACATGACTTGTTAGCCGGACATCTTGTGGTTGATCCGTCCTCCGTTTGGAACTTGATTCTACATATTCTAAAACCCAAACACCAAGTTTGGTGTAACCCGTTCGTCGTGTTGACCCTTCTCCACTGTGTGTTGTCTCCTTAACCGGTTTTGAATGAATAGAACTTTTCCATGGCTCGATTGGGGGTCAAACGACGACGGATTCAACCCCAAACTTGATGTGTTGGGGTTTTAGAATATGTAGATCAAGTTCAAGATTCGGAAGCCGGATCATCCATAATTGTCGCTCAATGCATATGCATTTTTAGAGGCGTCAATTGAGGAATCCTTCCTATGACAAGGATACCCATTATTTATATTATATATATTTATATGATATATAATATGAATTATATATATATATATATATACTATATATACGTGGGAAATATGAATCTAATGTGACACCTTAGGCTTCCACCAAAACGCGACTATGTCAATCATTTCTAATATTTTTGCCAATCGCTCCGTTGACTTGAGTCTACACGCTCTTAACCAAACACCAATTTTGGGTGAACCCGTTGTGTTTGACCAATCGTGGCATGCCAAAAGTTTATTCATTCGAACCTTTAAAATTGCAGCGGTGGATAAATGGTCAAAACACGGATGGGTTCACCCCAAAATTTAGTGTTTTTGGGTTGTGTAGATGCAAATTCGACGGAGGGATCCAAAAAAATTTGGAATGATGTGTTTTAGGCCGGTTTCCTTAGGTGGCGAGCTAAGGTGTCACCTATGATGTCTTCTTCCCTATTATATATATATACTATATTACTATATTACTATATTATATCGTTATATACTAATATTTTATATAAACGCTTAACTAATTTAATTACAAAACTTTAAAAACATATGGATTCGCCACCATGGGAGAGGAATAAGTGGGCGAGCGGAGTTCCTACATTAGAATGTAGGAATTAAGGAGAACTCGCATTGGACTTCGCAGAGGTCTACTACGCACCCCTTGTCGTTAACCGCGTACAGGCTGGAGTTCCTGTCTAAGCTCCCCTAGTCTTCTTTTTGTTCTCCTTTGAACTATTCACCGCCATTGAAAGTGCTCCTGCCGTATTTTTATGGATGCACGACCTCTGGATTGAGTGACCGAGTGCCTCACCGAGGGAGCACTAACACTCTAATGTACTCCGTCCTCAATGTTCAGGGGGGCGGGGGGGGGGCGCATTGATGACCTGCTCGGTTCTGCCCGCAATTCGGCCGCTGTGAGCAAGCATCCACGATTGGGGGAAGATGCAGATGCATAAGAGCATCTCCAACAGCTTCCTCAAAAATTTCTTCAAAATGGGGAATCAAATGTCATATTCTTCAAATTATTTTTGCTCCAACTCCAACAGCTTCTCCATTTTGAAGAATCATGCATTTATTACAATAATAAAAATATTCTACATCTTTGACTAATAAATAATAAATTATTTATTATTTTGAAGAATTCCCATTTTGACCAAATTATTTATTATTATAATGAAGAGATGAAGTTGTTTTTTGTGGGTTGAGTCTAGAAGAACGTGAAAAAGTGCTTCCCCAAATATTTGCAGAATGCTGCAGATTTGGGGAAGGCTCTCTATTTTTTCTCTCCTATCCCCATTTTGGGGAATGAGATGGGGAATCTGTTGGACCAAAAAAAAGCTCAAAATTCTTCAAATTTTAGAATACCAAGAAGATGGGGAAGCTGTTGGAGATGCTCTAAGATCCTCTCGGTAAAGATTGATGCGAGTCCACTATTAGCTTTTTTCAAAGAGCACATATGCTCAACAATGACGTACGAAATTATGGCAAGCGTTGAATTATCAACATATATAGTGTAGCTATTAATTCCGTATAATCAGAATATGAATCATTACAATCATCAGCCTCTAAAATGGACTCCACAGTTTGTTCTAAAATGGACTCCACAGCTAAATTAATATTACATAGGAGGAGATTGCACGTATTATATCATTAAGTTTAAAGTTGGCGATTGTGCTGATTCGAATTTCCACAGGTACTGGCGCCGATTTAAGTATTTAGACTGTTTACTGTTTGCACTAATTTTGAGTATTATTTATAATAACTTAAACTTGGTATTTAGGCAAGTGTAGCATGTTCCTTTCTTCCTATATATTTTCTATAAATTACCATGTGTATACTTTTTTTTCATAAGAAAATTGTCCTATAGAGAGCTCTCTTTATATATAATTTTTTCATGATATATAGAAGACATCTGTTTTATAGAGTGGGTATCTATATATGATCATATTTAGAGGAAGAAGAACATGATACATGTCTCAATGTCTCATTATCAATGTCAAATTGATGCGATCAATCTGATATCAATACAATAGGTAAAATATTAGTGCAAACAAAAATGATGTATCCGTACTAGGTACACATTTTATTCTCTATATAATTTTCTCATAGAGGCCCCTCAATGAGATTTTGTTTTTCTTATCTCATATTCCTATTCTTGGTACCTAGATAGGTACCACTCACGTAACTACGCTTCCAATGATCGCAAGAGGTGGGGCCATCGCACTTCTCAGTTGTCAGCTCTCATTTCTCCCATAGCAATCTTAGTTGTGGTCCCTACATATTCATGTCCAGGTGATTGTTGAGTGTGTGAACATTAGGTGCCCCATTTTTTATTTTCCTTCTCATAATAAGGTTGCAAAATATTTTTCTAGAAAGGAAATTGGCAAAAATAAAAATAAAAATTGTGCGGGTCTTTTAGGTGTTGGGACTGTTGGGTAACAACTAGCAAAAGGGTATCAAGTGCTTATGACGTCTAAAGTTTCCAATTCTCATCCATCCACATAATCTCTCTCTCTCTCTCTCTCTCTCTCTCTCTCTCTCTCATCAGGTTCTTCTCCCCTTACCTCTCTTATTTAAGCATCTCTCTTCTCTTTGCATCTTCTCATCACTTCCAGAGGAGAGTAAGCGGAGAAAGGGGGAGAAAAAGGTCAATGTAAGGTTCTCAAATCTTTTCATAATTTCTATTTAACATTATGTTTCCCTTTTCTATATACATTCTGATGGGCGTTCATGAGCGTTCCTAAGATTATGAGAGAGATGGAGAGAAATGAATAGCAAGTGGGCCTCTTGACTTGCACTAATTTCTCTCTATACCACTCATCTCTCTATCTCAATCTATCATTTTCTGACGAGTGCTGGTGGGCACCCATCATAAGATTATTATCTATCTTTTAACACATAGATCAATTACAATTCAAGAAGCTGCAATGTATTTAGTTCTCTTAACGAATGTCCATAAATTGCAATCACCGTTACCCTCATGAATTGCACTCATTTCTAATTAACACTCAAAGATTAAATCGTAACCATCATATAGATAATTAATGATTGCGATAAAGTAGTGGTCCGTTCACTACTATTTTTGGTAGCTAAGAAGATCCGAATCTAGCTGCGATGGTGGTTGCATTCCAAAATGAATTATGATAATGTTGGATACAAAGAGTAGATTGATGTTTACGAGTTATAAATGGAAAGTAATCCATCCTATTTTTTATTTTCTCTCTCTTGAAATTATGCACACATAAACATGCGCGTTGAGGAGCACGATAAGATCACCTAGTCCTGAGGAGCATCTTACCCCTTTCCACGTAAAATACAGTCAGAAAGCTAGTTAGTTAACGGTTGACAAATATTTCTGTAAATTAACCCAAAACTGCTTGATTTTTTGGAATCTTGGCTTTTGGAGCGGGGTCCACATCTCATAATCAACCACCGAACTTCATTTTAATTTTATACATTATTATCCTTCGTCTCCGTTGAGAGATGCCAACAAGTCTCAGATTCCCTCTTCTTTTTCCCTTTGAACTATTCCTTGTAGATAACTTCTTTATTGAGCTATTTATTATTCACTTTTAACATTACTTTTTAGCAATTTGGAATACGAATGATTCTTTGTACAGTCAGCTTATGCTTGTTTTTTATTGATTGATTTGTTATTTGTTTTGAATCTTCGATATATTTGAAGTTGACCATAACGTGTTTGATGTAATGTTTGAATGAGTCCTTCAGTATCTAGCGATGCTACGCCGGGCTTTTTAGGTGCACCAATGAAGAATTTAGAGGGTTAAGAAAAGCCCATGAATGATTCTAAGGAACCAACATCTCAGATCATTGCGTCGCTAGGAATGGTTAGTTTCTGGAAAGGGTGATGAACTGGGGAGTTGAGAAAGCTATTACGTCAGTTTGAAGATTTATTTTTAGGAGTTAACCCAGATTATTTTTCAGTTAAGAAGACTCACTGGGGAATTTCGGTATAAGTTCACGTCGAAAATGATAATATGGAGTGAAGTTTCAATCTTTGGATTGGATGTCATCTTATATGTGCTCATTTAGTACCTTAGTGGTAACCAATATCTTAGAAGGGTAATTCTTAATTCAGTTAAAATCATTGAAGCTCTTTATATCTTTTTGATAATGTAATATTGGTTTTTTATGTCAATAATGTGATTTATATTGATATGCAGAAGAAGGCAGCACCTAACCAAAGGTGCACATGTGGCCTTACTTCGATCCTGAGTATGAAAACCTCAACCAACGTATCAATCCCCCAAGGTAAAAAAAACCTGTAACACATGCACAAATTTCTCGCTTTTGATCTAATGAGAGACTATGATACACAAAACATGCTATCTTTTAGCAATTAGAAGAAAGTTACTCTGTCACTGAGAAAATTATGTGACATAAAAAAAACGCACAGTTCGGAATACTGACTGAAGAATGAAAATTAATGTTGGGAGGTAATGTACCTAAAATTTTAGCTAATGTTACTAAGACTTTTCACTTGATTATTGCAGAGTATGTATAGACGATAATTCATGTCCTGATTGTACACTTGTCAAGGTATTTATCATTTTGTGACATTTATTAAAAAAATCTCAGTCTGATTCCAGTAGAACCATCATCTCCTTTCTTACAGTCATAGTACAATATTTTTAGGTGGACAGTATGAACAAGCCAGGCATACTATTGGATGTTGTACAGGTATTGAGCGACCTCGATCTAACAATCTCCAAAGCTTACATTACATCAGATGGCAGATGGTTTATGGACGGTAAGGGAATGCCCTGCTTATGTGTAAGAACTTATCATCCTTAATATGATGCACAAACATAGTAATGATTCACAACATGTAAAGTTGCTTTATAAATGTTTAAGTTAGTTTTACATATATCTCGATCACTTTGACTATATTTGAGCAAGAACCATATATTCTAGTCTATTGATCATGTTCCCAGCTAACCTTTTGCTGATTCGGACGTCATTCATGCCTAGTATTTGATCCAATGTTAAGACGACTAAAAACAAAGTTGCATAAAATTGGAACCGATTTCAAATAATCAAATGTATAATATTTGGACAAAAAAAAATATAGGAGCCGAAAAATCTAAGCTTGATTTTAATGGCGTATGTCTTGTGTCTGCCTGTGCAGTTTTCCATGTAACTGATCAGCAAGGAAGAAAGCTCAAGGATAGGAAGACTATTGAGTACATTGAGAAGGTACATAATCTCCTGATATCTCTTAACTATAGACCTGATTGCAATATTTGACTTCCTTGCTATCATTTGTCCTATGAACATATTCACCTTTAAGTAAAATGGTTTTTTGTCTATGAGCATACATCTTTTTTTAAGCCGAGTGATATTTTATAGACTTGTTTCTTCTGCTTTCAAGTTCGTTCATTAAGTTTTTGCTAATGTTGTAGGTTGGTGGTAAAGACAGATATAACCAAAGGTATTTAATTTTTTTGTCCTTTTTGACTTTTAGCATGAATGCATTCTTAGATTTGTCTCCCCTATAGACCAGGATTAAAGAAATGACTTGGAATTTTAGCAAGTTTTTCTTAATGTAGTAGGGTGGTGGTAAAGACACAGTGACACACTGAAAGATAAATATATTTTTTCTAGTATCATCGTGTTTAGATTCCAAAGTTGACTTTGAGGAATTTCCAAGTAGTAGTTCTTGTTAGAGTGTAATTCTACCAGTCTCTCGTCTGAGGAAATATACATTGTTGTGATCTTCACTATTGTCATTTCATCTCATTATTTTGAGGATTCCTTAGCTTCAGTTATAAGTATTTTCCAGTTTCTACACATTCATGGTTCCGCTTGTTGAGTTAATACCTGTTACTCATGAGGCTTATTCATTCTGGTAGCTTCATATCAACATCAATTAGTTGGACGAGTCTAAACTTATTTAATGGACTTGGTCTTATCTAGCTAGGTACTTGAAAGAGCATATGATTGTTGAAAATACCAGAAATCTTCCCTACAAGGACTCCAGTCAGGAAAATGAGGTTAGGATAGCATTTGTAAGTAGCAGATATATTTTTTCCCCCAAGGAAAACAAGGAAGAGTGTTCGTACTTTTATATGGCATTAATCCAATATCCTTGTTAGTAAGTAGAAATATATATTCACATTACACAAGTATAATTCTTTTATAGCCGTAATCATAGTGTATCAATATGACAATATTTGTCCTTCGTGTGAGCATCTATGTGTGCATGTATTTCTGCAAATTTGTCATTTTCATCCATCCATGACCTACTTCTTGAAAATTTTATGTATTGCTATGTGTCTGTATCAAATGGTACAAATCCAATACCCTTGTTCATGCTACACAGGCGAAGAGGTATATCAAAATATAACATCAAAAAATCATGCAGAATGAAAATACTTTATTATTCCGGATCATATTTCTTGTGAATATCTAATTTTAAATTTTTTTCATGTTGTGATTGGCAAATACTTCTTTGGATTATTAAAGTGAGCGAAAAGATAATGTATATCCTGGTTATCGACGCATCACAAATTTCAACGAGTATAATATGAGCTTCCTATCCTGAGACAACCCTTGTTGACAATTCTATGTTCAACATTTTGTAGCACTACAAATTTCTATATCTTGTTACATTTTTCACTTAGTTTGTCCTTAACAGGCTCTAGGTCCTGAGAGCAACATTCTACCCACAAAAGGAGATGCTTGGCTAGATAAAATGGTGGGAATGCACTTAGTTGGTGATCACACTGCTATTGAGCTCATAGGTTCAGACCGTCCAGGCCTCCTCTCTGAAATCTTTGCTGTCCTTCAAAATCTCCGGTGCAATGTAATAGCCGCTGAGATGTGGACACACAACACAAGAGTTGCATGTGTTGTTTATGTCAATGATAGCGCCACATCTGGAGCTGTGAATGATTCAAATCGTCTCTCCATGATCGAGCAGAGGCTGAGGTATTTACTTCGAGGGCATGGAAATGATCGGAAGGAGGTTTGTACCAGTTTCTCTATAGGTTCAACCCATGTGGATCGTCGACTGCATCAGCTTATGTTCGCCGACAGGGATTATGAAGATGATAGTGGAGAAAGAGAGAAAAATACCACTCTCTCTTTTAAACCAGTGATAACAATTGAACCTTGTGAGGACAAAGGATACTCTGTGGTGAATGTGAAATGCATGGATCGGCCAAAATTGTTGTTTGACATTGTTTGTACCCTGACGGATATGCAATTTGCGGTTTTCCATGCATCTGTCTCATCTGATGGCCCGTATGCACTACAGGTACAAGTTTGTCCTTAGTTTTTCAGTTCCCCTTTAGGTTGAAATGATTATGAGAGTTTCAATTTCTATTTCCTTTTCATTCACATGCATTTCGTCCAACTAAGCTAAGTGAGCTTCCATGCCCTAAATATCCGTCAGGGGAAAAAAGCTAGCTCTTTCATTTAGTAGCAAAATTCAATCTCTTTTGCAGTACACCGGGGTCTCCTTGTTCCACTAAGATTTAGTATTTATGATCATCGCGCTCGAAGGGTTTCTTCTTGTTGAGGAAGATGTAGTTAATTACTATAAGATGTGGATTTGCAGGAGTTATATATACGTCAAGTGAATGGCTGCACCCTTGACTCAAAAGCTGAAATGGAGAGAGTGGTTAAGTGCCTGGAAGCTGCAATTCTGAGAAGAGTGTCTGAGGTGAGCTTTAAAATTTCCATTTTAAATGAGTCTTATTCTGCTTCTTATGTTAATTTTACTGCTACAGATATGCCTATATAGTTACACACATCCCATCTTGGTTTAGTAACCAAATTTATGAAGTTCAGGAGCTAAAGAACCGAAAAATAATCATCTATGTGAGAAATATTTATCATTTGGTGTATCAGATTCTTCAAGATGATCCACTGTATGTTAGCTTCTGAATGGAAATTAGTTCATCTATCCTAGCCTCTTTGGTGAAGTTAATTCCCTAATAGTTTGAAAAATTAGAACATTTTGTTATATTCTAATTGGATCGTAAATGTTTGTCTGAACAACAAGCCAAACAAAAATTTTAAGGATTTTGGCATATAATTTATATATTAAGAATAATTATTACAATTTGCCAAAGCTAATAAACTTCAAACAGTATTAATAGTGAACATTTCCTAGCAAAGGTATATTCTGCTCTCTTAAGTTCATACCCCTAAACAACCTAGTTGCAGAAAGCATAAGTTGTGTGGATAATTAAATTGCTTTACTAATCAAGTGGCTTTCTAGGATTCATGACAAGCTCCTCTCTCACCCTATAAGCTGCTTGAGCCATGAATTAATCCAGTAATATGTTGTAGCCTATGTTACCCAGGTACTTCTATCATGAAGTTGTACCCGTACTGGATACGTACCTGATACTTACTCGTAGGCAAACTTCATGGACACTCCTTGGATATATGCATATATTTACCCAGACATGTACTCAATACTATGACATATGTTTTAATTTAAAATACTTGGCATACACTTCTTGGACCTATATCCTATACTTCATGTCCATTTCTTGAAACTCGTTAGGCATGAGTCCAGTTGTTTCATCCCACATCCAAGTTAAAAACTATGGTTTAAAGATTGGTTTGAGTGTCTAGTTAAAAAATGAGCCGTTCTTAATTTATAATATTCAACAAATAAAAGAAACCTAAAAATAGGATAGGAATTTTAGGTTCAAATAGCACATGAATCAAAAAATAATAATGATATCATGTAAATTATTAATTTTGATATGTATATGTAGCTGTGTCCCTGAATCCTATATTTCACAAACTTGTCGTGTTCCCTAGTGGTATCCGTACCCGTTTCCATGCAGGTTACGTTGTGGCCTTTTGGCTTAAGATTGCTTCTTCAATATTATCTCCTTTCTATGTTAAAAGACTTCGCAAACAAGTCTAAATGCAGCAGAATGGTTCAATAAAGACCAAGCAGCGCTTCTCTAATAAGGATTAGTTCAAGTATCCTATTTTCTCCTCTACCTCATAACCTCGTCACCGTATTAGGCTGGATGTGGCTATTTTGACTTGAATTTATTTGCCTGTTCGCAACTCATGATTTCGAGTGACCTTTTGTTGTTTTGAAACCAAATATACCAGTGAAAAGCATAAGCTACCTTTTGAGAATAGTGGTGGATATAACCTCCCTGCATGTCATTAGTAAGTGTTTAATGAAACATCTTCCAAACAAGAGAACAATATCTCCAATCTACTGATGATGAGGATATAAACTGCAGAAACAAAGAACATTTGTTGTAGGAGGCTATGACAAGTATCTGCGTCTTTACAAACTATCCATATGCAGAAAACAATAGATAGGCAAAAGACTCAGCTGGAAAGATAAGCCTTATAGTCCTGCTCAATAGACAAAAAACATCACTTGTGCTCTGTATCAGTTTTCCCGTATCAGTTTTCCGAGTTTATGCACGCCAGAATACCCGAGCTAGGTACAGCATGAGATAACATAGTGTATAATATGAAAAAATATATTGAAGATGTGTTAAAACTATAAGCTACTACTTAGTTATCTGTCATGACTACTTAGTTATCTGTCATGATATCAATTTTTATGACCCCTTGTTCTCTAGATACCTTAATGTACTGAAGCATAGTAAACTTGATCACAGGGATTCAGTTTGGAGCTCTGTGGTAGAGATAGAGTTGGCCTTCTCTCCGACATAACAAGAGTTCTTCGTGAATATGGACTCTCGGTCACAAGGGCGGGCGTGACTACAGTAGGCGAGCAGGCGATGAACGTGTTCTATGTGAGCGATGCTTCTGGAAATACGGTAGACATGAAGACTATCGAAAACCTCCGTCGAGAGATAGGGCACACTGTCATGCTCAATGTGAGGAGAGTACCTTCAAGTCCCAAGGTTCAGGCCCCTGAGCCTAGTGGCTGGGCCAAGAGCAACTTCTCTTTTGGGACTCTGCTTGAAAAATTCCTGCCTTAGTTTGGCCTTCTTATGGTACATTAAGGAAATTTGTATAAGCTGAAGAAGGCCAACATAATGCAGCGCTACTTTTAACAGATGTAAATATAATTGGGGCTGAAGTCCTTTTTAAGCATCAATGTGTGATAATGCCAACTACTGATGAAGCAATTAACATACAAAGTCTAATATTGATGAAGGGTTGCTTGCATTTTAATATCCCAAAGTAAGGGTCTATTTGTACTATAATACCCCAATTCATGGTTACATGCACTTTAATAACATAATATTCTATCCAATTTTTATGATCATCTGAATCTTTTGAGATATGGATGTGCACCTAGTGAAGAAAAGCTAAGGGAACATAGGATATGTTAAGCCGTTAAGGGAAGGTAAAGAAATATGCAAAACTTATTTGGGAAATTAGTAAGGAGAATAAATGGGAACTTATTTCACCCTATTTGGGAAGCCTAATAAAATGAACAAAATGTAAGAGAATATATATACATTTACATAAATACCTTACATATTATTTCATCCTTTTGAATCTCGTCTTGAAATAAGGGATAAAATTGTCTTTGTCTAATATTCTCTTTTTTAAGAGTTAATTACACCTCATTCTTGCTCTTCAGTAGAACGAGCTTGAACTGTAGTACTGTACATACCAAGTTTCCCGTTCCGCTATAATAATAATTTAAAGTGGTATTAATAATCTTATTCCCAGCATCCCGAGGCCCACCATCCGGCCCAACATTCGAAAAACTGCAGGCCTTAATCTGTTAACTTCAACAACTATACGAATTTGGGATAACTTCTGTCAAAGAGGGTGCCACTCCATCGAATCTTCGAAGTTATGAAAATGGATGAGAATTTATACTCTAATATGTCCCAACGAATCGAGAATCCTTTTATAGGCTGAAATCTAGATTTATGGAACGATATTTTTTTTAATTTGATTTTAGAAATTTATGATTAGTAGAATTTAAACGTGAGTTGATTTGATATCATATTAGAAATGCAGAATGTTGCATTAATATTTGATAATGTTAATCCATACAATGAATATTAGCTTATTGAGCAATTATAACATGTGTGCTGTAATCAAGTTATATTCGCTATAAATTAAGCCGATGAGACAAGTCAACTGTCCTTGATTATCAAGCCATGCATGGTAGTAACAGTGACATTCTAGCAACTTCACTATCAAAAATAGTAAAATAACTATTGTTGTCTTCAATCACAGTTATCTAATTTTTTGAGTAAACTGATACGCTTCATTTTAAATTTTATCATTTATCATATTATCATAAATTGCAACCCAATTTAGCGACGGAGCTAATAAAAGGCAAAGTGTGGGCAAACACCTCCGCTGAAATTATCTTGTATTTGAGATTAAGCTTAGAGTATGTTTGACAATCTTTCAAAACTGACCCAGTTTTAAATGTTTCGTGTTTGACAAAACTCTGGGCCATAGTTGGCCTAGTTCTTTTAGGTCAAACTTCGGCTTTTAAACTGGTTCTAGTTTGGATAAGCCCTTCCCGGGTCCAAATAAGAAACAATTTAGAATAGAACTAGGTCCAAATGAGAAACAATTTAGAATAGAACTAGGTCAGGACTGAACCTAGCCCAATTTTCAGCATATGTCGCTAAACACACTCTTAGTATTGTCCTCAACGTTATTTATTGATCCCACTCCTTTATGGGTCATAACTCCGACACTTGAACTCATTATCATATTACGCTTAAGCAAATCACAATTATCACATCAACAATATACAACTATGATTAAAATGATAGTAGCCATGTAGGCCTGTCCATCCGGGCCGGCCCAGCCCGGAAATCCGGGCCCGGGCCGGGCAAAACCGGGACCCGGACCCGGGTACCCCGGGCCGGGTCCGGGCCCAACCGCGCCGGGTTCCGGGCTGGCCCGGGTGATTTTCTTTTTTTTAAATTTTTTTTTCTAAATTTTTTATGTTATTTAAATTATAAATTATAAAAAAAAGACAAGAAAAATAATAAAAACAATAATTTTATTAATTACTTAAAATGGCATAAATTACAAATAAAAAGGATAAAAACAAATTCTTTATTAATAATTAATAAATCATTTACAAATTACAAGTACAAATTTATTTTGGAATTAATCGCATCACAATAGATAAGTAAATCCCAACTAGGTTGGCACCTACTCACCTATATCACTATCATTTGCAATTATTTCCAAAATAATTCTTTACAAATTTTAAGCTAAGATATAAAAACTACAATCTATTCTTTATATCTATCTGCTAGTCCCAATTCTTCAAATTTATCTTCAATTCCAGCCATCCGATCGATGCCTTGCGTTCGCTTCTCGTACCTCCACCAATCTTGTAAGCACATCACCGCTTGTACAGTATACGGATCCAAGCATGTCCTGTGATCGTCGATCAAACGACCTGCTGTGCTGAAGGCGGATCCGAAGCTACCATCGAAACCTGCACTGTTAGTAAATCACGAACCATGGTGGAAAGTATAGGATATGAAACTGATCCATATACTTTCCACCATTGCAAAATATCTAAAGCATTTCCTTGACATCTAACTAAAGAAGCAGAAAAATATTCATCTATTTCAGAAACCTCCGATGATGACGATCCAAGTCCAGATCCACCAGTTAGCTCAGCTACCATTGCATACCTATCAAAACTTACACTTTTACCTCGGGCTCGGGATGAGCTCGAAGAAACCGAAGCTGCAGACTGTTGTGCAGCTACACCATGTCTAGCTGCATACTCATCATATAAAGTTTGAAAATAATTTCTAATAAGTAAATGATGAGTAGTAGCATTCAGGGTGGTTCCATCATCTAAGTCTATTGAATATTTAAAATTTGTAAAGCAGCTAAAGTAATGGTTGGATAATAACAGCCAGATAATAACATTGTAGCATCATAAAAAACTTGTAACATTTCATTGTAGCATCATAAAAAACTTGTAACATTTCATTTAACTTACATATAACTGTCCATTCATCTTCAGTTATTCCATAAGTGCTACCAGAACTAGAACTAGAAGCATAATAGTTTATAAAATCAGTTATAATGTCTTTATATTCTATTGCTACACTTAACATTGCATATGTGGAATTCCACCTATGGTCAACATCTTTTGGAATTAGTCTAGGCTTTATATTTTTTTCTTTTACAAAATTGTTTCCATATTTTAAGTCTTTGTTCAGAAGCACTATGCATGTAAGCAACTATTCTAACATTTTCTATCATGGGTTTAATTTCAGTAAATGTACTTTGAACAATTAAATTTAAAATATGTCAGATGCATCTAATATGAAAAAGATCACCATGACATGGTAATGATAAAGATGATCTGATAAAATCAACAGCTACATTGTTATTACTTGCATTATCTAGTGAAAGAGAAAATATTCTTTCTGAAATTTCTAATTTCATAAGTTCTTCAATTATTAAATTTGCAACATTAGCACCAGTATGTGACTCTTCTATTGCAATAAAAGAAACAACTCTTTTAAACATTTGCCAATTTTCATCAATCCAGTGTGCTGTGATACATAAATATCCAGTTTGTGCTCTAGATGTCCAAATATCAGAAGTTAAAGAAAATTTACAGTTTAAATTTTTAAAATAAGAAATTATTTTTTCTTGTTCTTGCTGATAATATTTTAAAATATCACGTTGACAGGTTTGACGAGAAAATTTTTTAAATGCAGGATAAAAACCATCTCTAAACATATCTTCAAATTCATCATCTTCTACTAATTTAAAAGGAAGGTTTTTAAGAATGATAAACCTGATTACGCATTTCCTGGCTCTGGCAGCGTCATAGTTCCAACTACCGAGACTACCAGAAGAGGAGGATTGAGAAATCATGGATTGTCGGATATCACCTTGAGGAGGCTGGCCTTTGTTGTGTTTATCTAAATGGCGTTTGAGGTGGTTGGTGCCGCTCTTATGATGAGCTTGAAAAATCTTGCCGCACAAAGCACACTTAGCCTTCTGGGTGAGGATCCTACCGTGTTCATCCTTGGTAACGTCGATCTTCTCGTAAAAATTCCACACATCGGATCTTGGCCGTTTAGGAGCTCTTGGTGCAGATTCGTCGCCACCGGATTCGGGATTAACTTCGGTAGGAGGACTGATAGTAGGAGGACTCATTTCAGGATCAGGAGATATGTTTTGCTCTTCATATTCAGATCCGGAAGCCAATTAATGAAAGGATTAGAATGTATAAATAAGAGTATAAGAGTATAAGAGAGAGTATAAGAGTATAAGAGAGAAGAGATGAGTTTTTGGTGTGAAGAAAACAAATGAAAACCCCCATCTATTTATAGAACCAGCTCCCTAAGCAAATGACCAAAATAACCTCACAAAATAGCCGTTTTTTGACCGTTTTTGAGGGCAAAACGGTCAAAGGGCCAATCTGACCGTTGTTACCGGGCCGGGACGGGCCGACCCGGCCACAACGGTCACTGGCGCCGTACTGTTCCGGGCCGGGCCCGGGCCGGGCGCCGTTGAGGCAACCCGGGCCCGGAACCCGGCCTGGCCCAGATTTCCGGGCCGAGGCCGGACCGGGCCCGGGTCGGGCTCCGGGCCCGGGTCGGGCTCCGGGCCCGGGCCCGCGGGTAAAATGGACAGCCCTACAGCCATGTTAGGTTTGAATTGGAGTCAAGTGGATCGTTGCTTTAACTGAGATGTACTTTTGCTTTAGTTTCTCTTTCTTTCCATCTTTTTCTAGGGAGAGGGAGAAACAAATAAATAAGTTCCTTTTTTATGAAAGGATCTTTTCCTAACTAATTTTACCTTTTATCTTCACTAGCTATTGTCTACTTTCTAACGGTACTTCCAAAAGCGCCTAATGTTGAAAAGGACAGAGTACAAGGAGAAAACTAGCTTTGCGCACTATAGTTTTTTGTTTTTAGAAAAAAAATGGAACTCATGCAGCATGCTTTTGGGTCTACACAAAAGCTGGGGTTTGTTAGGCCAGTGCCAATGTAGCGTAAATTACGGTGAGCTGTCAAAGGATGTGGACGATACATGAAAGTGGAGATGGAGGAGGGTTTGCAATAAGGACATTGCTATTTGGCTCCCCGCATGGCCAACTCGTGCCCAACTCGCATTGAGAGAGTAGGGGGTGGGCCCCACAAAGCTGTGGGGCCCACCCCCCTACTCAGTGACTGCGAGTT